ATGTTTTAAAAAAATGTTCTTAATTAGAGACACACACTCAGTGACAACATCTGAGATTTAGCTTTAAAAGCTGCCAATAAGCCCTGGGTGGTGCGGCTCAGTGGATTGAGTGCTGGCCTGGGAACCGAAGGGTCGCTGGTTCAATTGCTGGTCAGGGCACAGGCCTAGTCCCCAGTCGGGGCCCATTCAAGGGGCAACAGATCAATGTTTCTCTCTCACATCGATGTCTCTCTCCCTCCCTTCTCCCCTCTCTAAAATCAATAAACATATCCTCAGGTGAGAATTAAATAAGTAAAAAAAAAAGTATGTATACAAAGCAAAGATATACGCAATGTATACAAAGAGGCACAGAAAGATACATATACTCAAGGATGCTGCTAACAAAAAAAAAGATACAAATATATAATACCATGTAACTATTAAAAGATACCAATGGGAAAATACCCAAGCATTAAAAGGGAAGGGAGGGAGCAAGCTACATAAAAGTAGATACACTGTGATCCCATTTCTGCAGAAAGGAATTACTTTCTCTTTCATACTTAGCAACACAGTGGGGGAAAAATGTGGATAAATACAGAACAAATCCTTAGATAATTAACACTGCGACATGGGATTATGGGTTCTTTTCCTTACTTAAAAATGCCTAATTTTACTGTGCTCATATATTACCGGTATAATCAGGGAAAATGTCAAAAGTCAAGGACTTTCCAAAAGCAAGAGACTAGCGATGAAAGTGTTGTGATATAAAGAAAAGTGGAAAAAACGAGGGAGCACACATCCTAAAGCAAGGTGAAAGGCCACCACCAGGAATGGAGGGCAGGTCTGGGGCCTGAAGGGACAGGAACCGGGGGAGCTGCTGTAGGAAACGGGACCCTGAGTGCCAGCGAAGAGTACAGCTCAAAGGAGGCAGAGCAGACGGCTGGGGACCAAGGCAGCCACTGTCCCCTCTCCACTGAAACTGAGCGGCCTAGGGGCAGCAGAAGCAGCTGGGGGAGGTGACTCGGGGGTGGCAGCCAGCAGGGCCAGACAGAGCAAAAAGGCAGACAGGCAGGCAGGCAGCGTGCTCTCTGACACTGGGACCGTGGCGGACAGCGTCCCAGCTAAGGCGGGAGTGGGAGAAAGAGCGGGGAAGGGAAGGTGCAGGGCTGGGACTTGGGGGCCGGAGGGCGGTGGCGTGCAGCGGGGCTGGAGGGCACAGGGAGAGGAAAAGGCCTGAGCTCAAGCCGCAAGCACCCCTCAAGCCTCCTCTCCCTAACTCCCATCTTCTCTGTATCATCACATTAGAAGGAAGATCCCTACTATGTCACTGGTCCTCAAGTGCAAAAACATCTCCACCTGGTTCTGGATTTTTCTCTTGACCACTAAGTGACCTGTGAGGCAGATGGGGGCTCCCTCTGGGTTCCTCCCTCACCTAGTTCTTCCAGAGTTTCTGGGCTGCTCTGAGGGGAGCAAAAGCTCCACAGCCCATGGGGCACTACCTTCTTTGTGCGTATCCTCTACTAACCAAAAGCCCCAAATAAGGGGTGACTCTCAGCCCACAATGAAGCCTTAACCATATCCTATGAGGACATAAGAAAGGGCCCTAAACTTAGAATCAGAAAACCTGGCATTAAGTCCTAGCTTTTCTTCTTACTGGCTTTATGGACTTGAAAGTGAGCCGGTCACCTCTCTGTGTGCTTCCTCGCCTGTAAAATGGGGATATCTGCCTCCCAGGGTGGTTGGGAGGGTGAAGTAAAGTCAATGTGTAACAAGTGTTTCATAAACTAGAATATCATACCTATACAAGGTGTACTTATCAGAGTAAAGCAAACATTTTTCATTTTTGCTTCTACATAACTTTCGCCGATGGTGCTGTACAACCTGGAGTGAGTGCTCACGCCTCCAATGTGCCTGCGCCGGCTGCAGCGGTCCACGCTTTTACTGCTTCTAACCTGTAGTATCACAATTTCCATCTCAACATCTCAATACTACTTGCAAAAAGACTTCAGTTAACAGTTGCTTGCCACATTTAAAGTGCCTTACGCTTTGTCTCAGTTTCCCTTTTTATCTCACATCAATGTGTACCTGTAACTACGGTTACCTCCTTGGCCTTCCTTTCCGCGTGATGGAATGGCTGCACCACGCAGCTTCAGTAAGGCCCCCTGCACCTGGCCTTCGGTGCAACTCCCACGTCATCTGATCGGCCATAAAAATTAAATCAAAGTAATTGAGACAGTATACTCTCTCAAGCTATTTTTCCCCTGAGAAGAACCAAGAGGGTGACCAAATGAATTGGCATAATCTCCCAATATCTAGGTTAGTAATTCAGAATACACAACCTCCTAGCAACGACTTAATGCATCAGTGTCAGCGTTAGCACAGTAGTAGGCTGGGCAAAGATCTAGTACTGAGTTCAAATTCCTAAATAAAGCTTGGGCAAACAGTCTTACAGTATCCTGAATATGACGACATTGAGCTCGGCTGAGTCTCCAAAAGGCCCATCAGCCGCCAAAAGTCACAACACCCGCGTGTCGAGCCCACTGCCGACTCACAGGCCGGCAGCAGTCTGGAGATCTTGTGGCCCAAACTCTCTCAGTCACTCCCTTCACACATGAGGACGGAGTACTCAGGTTAGTAAATGGGCAACGGAAGATCTAGTTAGTACCAGTGAAGAACTGTTACAGTCTCTTTCAAGAGAAACTTTTGCAAGACCCAAAGGGAACAAGTAATGGCCCTCGGCCCCAAAACCATGAACACAGGGAATGGGTAACACATTTTCACAGCAAAACTAAGTATCGCTTTTAGCAGCCTACAAAGGCAGCGGAACACCCTCTTTGGAAATACAGAACTTGAAGGCAGCAGGGGAATCAGAGCTCCCCTCGCACCACCTGCCCCAAAGGAACGGCGTGCTGCTGTCCACACGCAGAGGCCGCTCGCTCGTGCGCGCGGCGAGCGTTACGCAGTGGCTACCCTGTGTCAGAAATGGTTAGGTTCGGGGTCATGAGAATAAGTAAGACCAGGTTCTGCTCTCAAGTAGGTCACAACATAGGCGTGGAGAACACAAAATACCAAAAGTGAAGAGTACGGCGTGACTTTGAGAAGAGCTGGCACGCTCCGCCAAGGCCACACAAAGGAGGGGCATTCAGCCTGATCTGGAAAGAACCAAGGAAGGTGGCTAAGAGATGGGAGTGCTGCATTCCGGTCCATTCCGGCCAAGGGGTCAGACAAGCAGTGGAATGGGGAGGCTGAGTGGCAGGAAGAGCCGTGCATGCTGGGGCCTCCTGGAAGTCAACCTTGGAGCTGTAAGTGCCACACGGACTGTGGCAGAGGAGGGGCCAGAAAGGACGACACTGGAGAGGCCAGGATGTAAAGGTCCTTGTGAGGTGCTGACTTAGAGACACAGCAGGACCTGGGTGTTCCTGGCATCTGGAAGCCAGAGGACCACGGTTTCCTCTGAACTGGAGTTACGGACCACCTAACATGGGGGGTCTGACTAAGGAAGACTGGAAGAAGGTTAGAGCCAGTCATTTTGAATCACTTCTGTCTGGCTCATACTTTTTTTCCTCTCACAGGGAAAAAATAAAACTAAACACGCCTGTAACAAAACCTGTGAACCTTCTGTTCATCAAAAACATTTCTGAACAGGGTGCTAGATTCTATCAAAGTAGCTCAAATTAGACAAAGATGACATCTGGAGACTTTCCAACATCTGGAACCTTCCAGGCAAAAAGACCAAAGTTAAGTCTCTGATGGCAATAGAACAGCGACTTTCAACCTTTTTCATCTCATGGCACGTATAAACTAATCACTAAAATTTGTAGCGCACCAAAAAATGTATCTTTTGCTGATGTGACCAAAAACATAGGTATAATTTTTATTCATTCACACCAGAAAGCTATTGTTGTGTTGGCCGCTGTCATTTTTCATTTGACAACCTAAGAGAAAAGAGGTCAGTGCCCCTGACTGTTGCATGTGTTAAAATCACTGCAGTAGAGGCCAGCTGGAGAAGCGTCCAGCACAGGGGCCGCACAGAACGCAGCGCTGCGTGGCCCACCCCAGCCCTCTGGCGATCGGAATGCCCAGTGTCCCCTAAGCAAGGATGCGCCGCACGGCTCTGTCCTGGCTTCTCCACAGAAAATTCCAGGAAAAAAACCTGCCAGCGCCAGGAATAACCTTGGACTTTATCGTGTTGACTTCTGCCTGCTGCAGAGCCTGGACAGTTCTCTCAGCAGCCTGGGTGCCAGCGGGCGAGGGCAGCGAGCTGCCTTCCTCGCCCGACACGGAAACCGGGCCGCTCGCCTGTGCCCGGCACCCAGCCGCACTCCCACTGCTGGCGCCACCGCAGACGGCGCCCCTCGACACCGCCCGCCGCGTGGACTGCCACCAGCAGCGGGCCCTGACCCCGCCGAGCCCCGGCCCTCGTCGCCCGTCCTGAGCACGACCTGCAGAGCTTGTATCAGCCCCATTTTACGGGCTGAATTTTAAAAAAATGAATAGAATAAAAAGCAAGGCTTGGAGAGGCTACACGCTTACCCAGGTCAAAAAGCACGCAAGAGTTAGAGGGGGGACAGCTCCAAAGGCGGTGCCCTTCCCCTTGTCCTAGGCCCCTCTGAAGTTTTCTAGCGAAATAAAAAACTCCGAGCCTTCTTTCCAAGAGTTTCGGAAGTTCATCCATTTGACTGAGAGGTGGTAAAAATCATTTCTTTCAGCAATCACTTTGCCTTCAAAGCAATAAATAAACCAGTTCCTATTTTCTTAGAGGTATTTCAAAGAATGTACTTATTATCTAATTGCCTTGATTGTATGTTTCTTCATTTATTTTTGGCCAAATCGATAGAGAAAGAGAGAAGAGAGCAAAGGACAAAATTTCATTTTACTAGATCAGAATGGAGATGAACAATTAAAGCAAACAAAAAAAAATTCAAATATAATTTACATTAAAAAATAAAAAATAAATATAATTTACATTATATTTTATGCAGTAAAAATCAAGAGACAACTTCAAACAGACGGTGCCTTACCTCAATCTTATTCTTCCTGTTCTAGGGAACAGCACTCCAAGCGATCAGCAAACACTCCCAGCCACACACAGTGAACCAGACCAAAGGGGTGACAACGCCTCCGTGCTCCCAAAACCACAGTGGGAAGGAAAGTGTGACGGCTTCCCGAGGAACCTGAGCACATATACAACATCCGTAAATCACTGCTCATCCAGACACTCAGAAACAGAATGTTTACCTTGTGGTTTGCCTACAGGAGCACTTAAAGTTAACAGGTGTGTTTAAATAAAATAATACAAAAACAATTCCACACCAACATGAGCACATTAGAGCTAAACTTCTTCTATGGGAACATATAATCAATTGTCACTTGTCAAAATCAATACTTTATAAAGACCTTATTAAACGGCATATCAAGCTATGCCTGAATCACTTCTTCCTTCACAGACCCACAGCCACTTCTAAACTAAGAACTACTATTAAAATGTCAACAGTATCACCATAGTGGAGGTGCCCAACCCAGTCCTGCCACAATTAAACAGAAACTGTTGTATGAAAGAATGAATTACATAAGGTAGAAAACTTGAGAGACAAAGAATACAGTTTAAGGGAAACACATAATTTGTTAAAGATTAAGGGGAAAAACAATCTCCAGAACTATCCATAGAACTACAAATAGTCAAAATTACCTCGCATTTCACCTGAAAATGTATCCTAGACTCCAATAAGGCAGCACCTCCCAACATTCTAAATTGATACGGTGCAAAGATTCTGATCCTGCTTTTTGCCACATAGGGTTGGATATCATGCGTAGACAACACGGCAGCTTCCGCCCCAATACCGCATGCAGAGCTCTGGGGCACGGCTGCGAGCCTCAGGCTGGGGTTTGCACACTCCATGATACAGGAGACAGAGTTTACAGACTAACGTCACTGGGGACAGGTAATGCTTCCTGTGAAGATAATGCCCTGTGAGAGCTGACACTCATTAGGACTTAACAGATTCAATACAATGACTTCATGGTGATAGGAAAAAGTAAACTTTCATCAATTGAGGGATATAAAGAACATAAAACATTTTTAATTAAATTTATTGGGCGATATGGGTTAATAAGATCATACAGGTTTCAAGTGTGCACTTCTATGGTATATGATCTGCACACCGCATTGTGTTCACAACACAGTCAACTCCCCTCTGTCACGGCATCCTTGACCCGGAAAGGACTGATAACAACATAAACCGTTAAGAGTTTTCACAGCCCTCTCTACAGAGTTGCACACATGAAACAGTGACACCGAAATGAGAAAAACAGGCCCTTAAATTAGTTCGAATTTATAAAAAAATTGGAAAACCCCTAGAATTTACATATATTGTGGTGTCTAAGTGTGTCTAGCATTACAAAGCCACAGTGCTGTAAAGAAAATATGAGTCACAATTCAAAATCAAAGGAGAAAAAAAAAATGAACAGAGGAAAGCTCTGAATCCACATACCACAAAGACATTCTTTACTTAAAGTATTGCCAATGATGGCTAGCATTCTGACCTGCTGTAAGGACTGGTTCACACTGTCTTCTACTCGTTGACAAACTCATTAAGCTACCGGACGCCCCTCCCAGCCCCATCCACCGCTAAGCAGTGGGATGCTAACCGGTCTGAGTCACTCACGCCCACGCACGAAGAGGTCATTCTCCACCAGGAAGCCCACTCTGCGAAGTCCCCGTGTTCCTCTTCCAAGAGGCCACCGCCATGGCCCACGTAGAGCAAATTCTCCAACTTCACCCGCCTACCGACCCTCCCCTACACACTCCAGCCTCGTCCTAACGCCAAGCAGGCCAGCACCACTCGCAGGGACACTTTTGTGGCAAGCTCCCCGCCTGAGAACCATCCAAGGACAGGATGCGTCGGGGCCCAGGAGAATCCAGCTCCAGGCTCAACTCCCCTGGGCCCCACTGAGCTCCGGCCTTTCCAGGAACTAATAATCACCGGTTACGTCGGAGAAGCTAAACTCTCGCTTGCCTCTTCTGCCCCGCGGACTCCAGTCTGCCAACTTCGCAGGCTGGGGAGCGGGGGAGAGGGGCCGGGGGAGAAAGACGCGCCGCGAGGCGCCTCGGGACCAGGCACACCGAGGCCCCCCGAAATTCCGACGCAAACCCCCACTTGCCCCCCACCACGGTCGGCCTCCAGGGCGTCTGGACCGGGCGCTCCGAGCGGACGCCACTACAGTTAAGTCTCCGTGCTCCTGAGACTCCCTTCCCCGGCTACAACAATCCTAAATATCAAGCCATCGAGGCCCCGAATCGAAGCTAAGATCCCCTTCAAGCCTCCAGCCACTGGAGTTTCCTTGCTCGGATCCGGCGCCCTAAGGCCCGGGCCGCCGGGGCCGGCTCGCTGTACCAGGCCGCAGAGCGCCAGGGGCCCGGGCCGTGTCCCCACGGGGCCCCCATTGTTGCGGGTCCCGGCGGCCCGAGCCGGGAGCCGGGGGCCGGCGCCGGCACTCACCTCCGCGCCGCGGCTCCGGGCCGCGCCGGGCCTCGCAGGGCCGGGTGGCCTCGCGTTCCGCCGCGCCCGCCTCGGCGGAGTCTGCGGCGGCGAGGGCGCGGGCGGGGGCGGCGGCCGGGGCAAGAAGCAGCCGGCCAGGCCCGGGCGCCGCAGACTGGCTCGGACCGAGCTCCGGTCTTCTCTGGCGGCGGAGGCGCTCGCAGCCTCCGCTCGCGGTCCGCGCCAGAAAGCGTCCCCCTCCCGGCCCGCGCGCCAGGCGGCCCGGGCGGGAACACACGCCGCCGAGAGCAAAGTTCCGCCGGGAGCTGATGGAGGCCGCTCTTCCCCCGCGCCAGGTGGCCCGCGATTCCTCCGCGGAAAGCGCCGCCTATGCGCCCGAGGGCCGTTTCGGGAGTGAACGCGGCACAGAAATCCCAGGCCGGAATCCACCCGGGAACGGTTCCAGGGCTAGGTCCGACGGAAAGAGGTTGCACCCTGCCAGCCACCGGAGAGGCAGGCTGGCTACTTAATGCCTCAGTTGAGCCTCGGTTCCTCCTCATTCTTCACTCGAGGGTGACCTTGAGGGCTTGATAGGATTGCATGAGATGATAAAAGTGCCTGGCGCAGAGATACGGGGCTCGGCGTTCGGGCACGGGCGTTGCTGACACTACCAACGATTATTGCTGCTGTTACCATCGCCTCCTGCAGAGGTTCGCGCCGCCCTCGTGGACCCCTGGAAGGTATGCGCACCTGTCTGCAAGATTCCCTGGAAAGGAAGCCAGGGCAAGAAAAGCCTTCTTGATCACCGGCACTCAAGCAGAGGTTAAGGATGCAGATGCTCCTTCCTGAAGTTGGTAATGACTGCCACGTGGGCTCCCGTTAACTATAAGAGTTTATTGTGTCCACTGTCTCCACTACAATCCCGTCTCCTCCTCCTCCTCCCCCTCCTCCTCCTCCTCCTCCTCTTCCTCCTCCTCCTCCTCCTCCGAGCATTGGCGAGATGAAGGAAAAAAAGTCTGAAACTGGGTTTTTAAAAAGGTTTTGCTTTCTGCATAAAATCAGTGGATTATAAAAAAATAATCCTTCTCCCCATCTCCCTCTTCTTCTGGGCTTTCCCACCTGGAGATATGAGACATACCTAGTTATTTTCGGAGTAAATTAGGTCATAAAAATACAGGTATGTGTTCCCAAACTATCAGTGGGTAATTAGATCTGCAGAAGGTGCTCCAAAAAGAACCATAGCTGTTATGTGTTCTCAAATTTTCCATTCTCAGTCTCTTGGCTTGTGAGGCTCAGGAAATTTTAGCCTGATACTCTTTCTCCCCTGCCTGAAGAAACTTTGCAGAAAGGCTCACTTATATCAGTCACTTGCACCTGAATGAAATTTTGTCACTGTGTCACACATCTACCCATGTGGATTTCCATTTAGATTATCCTCCGGAAGTAATGAATGGGCTCTGCCCCTCTAACCATTGTGGTAGCCACCTAGAAATGGAGGCTCGTGGGTTGCGGAGCTGCAGGCTCAAAGCTGCCTGAGGCCCTGCTCCCTCAAGCAAGGGGGCTTCATCTTATGCAATAGAAGACTTACTAAATACAGGCTCTTAAGGATGCGGAGGCTTTGAATAGCAGAACAGCATGGGAGAAGGCACGAGTAGAGGAAAGAAAAAAAAAGAGGTAATCCTAGATGGACCTCAGGGTTTAGCTGGGCAGGCTGGGGCATATCATTTCTGGCCTCTCACTGTAACTCCTGAAAGCTCAGTCTGTGACCACTCCTAGATCACTTCAGACCCAAAGTTGTAATGGCTCAGGTTCTGTGTAATCAGCCCTGTGTCAGGGCTGGGTGAGCAATGTGAGGGGCCCTTGGCTCCAGGGCCATGAGGGCCTGCTCACCCTCACCACACGTGGGTGCTCCCAGAGTCAGGGTGATAAAAATGTTCAGCACACTGGAAAGGAAAGGAACCTCCTTCACGTCATTAAAGGATATTAATTTAAAAAATGTGACAACTAACATTGTACTCCATGGTGAAATACGGCAAATGCTGAAAGCTTTCTCCGTAGGACCAGGAATGAGACAAATGTGCCTGCTTTCACCACTGCTATTTAACACTGCGCTGGAGGAGCAATGAGGCAAGAAAAAGATGAGAGGTGCCAGATTGGTTCTTTATGATGAAAACAAAACACTCAACAAACAGTAGGAGACTTCCTCAACAGAGCAAAGGCCTTATGTGAAAAGCCATAAGCGACATCATATTCAACAATGAAAAACTGAACCTTTTTCCTCATTCATTTCAAGAATGAGACAAGGATACCCACTTTCACACTTCTACTCAACATAGACTTGAAAGTCCTAGTCAGAGAAAGTAGGCAATAAAAAGATATCCAAATTGGAAAAGAAGTAAAATTATTTCTGTTTACAGATGACGTAATCTTATATGTGGAAAACTCTAAAGATGCCATGCCAAAAAAAGGCTAGAGCTAATAAATGAATTCACCAAAGTTGCTGGACATAAAACCAACACAAAAAATCGTTGCAATTCTATACACTAACACTTAGCAATCTGAAAAGGAAATTAAGAAAACAATTTCATTTACACTAGCACCAAAAAGAATAAACTACTTAGATATAAACCTAACTGAAGAAGAAAAAGACTTGCAGCCCTGGCTGGTGTGGTTCAGTGGATTGAGCGTCAGCCTGTGAAAAAAAGGGTCGCTGGTTCGATTCCCAGTCAGGACACATGCCTTGGTTGTGGGCCAGGTCCCCAGTTAGGGGCATGTGAGAGGCAAACACACATTGATGCTTCTCTCCCTCTCGTTCTCCTTCTCTTCCCCTCTGTCTAAAAATAAATAAATAAAATCTTTTTTAAAAAGAGTGAAAAAAGACTTGCACTCTGAAAACCAAACATGCTGCTAAAAGAAATTAAGAAGATACAAATAAATGGGGAAAAAAACAATCATGATTGTTAACATGTCAATACTGCCCAAAGCAATATACAGATTTGATGCAAACCCTATCAAATCCCACAACTTTTTTTTTTTTTTTTTGCAGAAACAGAAAAATCTATTCTAACATTTATGTGAAGTCTCAAGGGACCCCAAATAGACAAAAGAATCTTGAAAAAGAAGAACAAAGCTGGGGGACTCATACTTCCTGATTTCAAAACTTACTACACCACTATAGTAATCAAAGTGGTATTGTTCTGTTATAAGGACAGACATATAAATCAATGGAACAGAACAAAGAGCCTGAAAATAATCCCTCACATCTATGGTGAAATGATTTTTGACAAGGATGCCAAGAACATTTGATGAGGAATGGGCAGTCATTCCAACAAATGGTCATAGGAAAACTGGAGATCCACATGCAAAAGAGAGAAAGAAAAAGAAAGAAAGAAAGAAAGAAAGAAAGAAAGAAAGAAAGAAAGAAAGAAAGAAAGAGAGAGAGGAAAGAAAACTGGATCCTTACCTTATACCATATACAAAATTAACTCAAAGTATATTGAAGACATTAATGTAAAACCCAAAACTAAAAGACTCTTTAAAGAAAACAAGGCAAATTTTCAATATTGGATTTGGCAATGGTTTCTTGGATATGACACCAAAGGCACAGGCAACAAAAGAAAAAAATAGACAAGTTAGGCTTCTTAAAATTTAACACTGTTGTGCATCAGTTGACACTATCAACAAAGTGAAATGGCAAACCATGGAATGGAAGAAATATTTGTAAATTATATCTCTTATAAGAGATTAATACCCAGAATATATAAAGAACACCTATAATTAAACAACAAAAAACTAAGCAACCTGATTCAAAAATGAGCAAAGGACTTGAATAGATATTTCCCCAGAGAAGATATGCAAATGGCCAATAAGCACAGAAAAAGATGCTCAACATCACTAATCGTTAGGAAAATGCACATCAAAATCACAATGAGATACTACTTCATACCCATTAGGATGGCTATTATAAAATAATAATGTAAAAAAAAACACAGAATTACAAGTGTCAGTGAAGATGTGGAGAGACTGGAACCCTTGTACGTTTCTGATGCAAATGTGAAATGAGCAGCCACTGTGATAAACTTTGCTCCAAGTAATACAACCAAAAGAATTGAAACCATGGGCTCAACAGGTACTTGTATACTAATGTTCATTGCAGCATTAATCACAACAGTCAAAAGGTGGAAAAAACTCAAGTGTTTGTCAACAAATGGATACACAAAATGTGGAATGAGGTACTGATACATATGACAACATGGAGAAACATTGAAAACAGTATGTTAAGTGAAAAAAGCCAGACACAAAATGTGACACATTGGATGATTCCATTTATATGAAATATCTAGGATAGGTACATTATCTATGGAGACAGAAAGCAGATTGGTGGTTGCCAGAGGCTGATGGAGATTAGAGGGGGGTGGACAATGGAGAGCAATGGCTTAAGGGTTTTATTCTGGGATGATAAAAATGTTTTGCAACTAGATAGAAGTGGTGGTTGCGTAACACTATGAATGTACTGAGGTGTCCAAATGGTTAGTTTTACATTATGTGAATTTTTACCTCAATTTAAAAAAGGAAACTAGAGCTCAGAGAGGTTGAGTTACATGAGATCTCATAGACAGCAACTAGCAGAGCCAGAATTTGGACCCAAATCTAAGAATCAGTAGGCAAGTAGGAGTATTCTCTTACTTCAGAGGTAAAGGACTGTTATGCTGGTGATTTTCTGAGAGAAGGTTTCAATAAGGGAGGAGGGATGATACCTTCCCCAGAGCAGGTGGTCAATACCTTCTTCTGAGGGTGGGAGGACCTATGGTCTCTGGTTATGGACTCGGAGGTCTGGTGAGAACGCGGAGTGTCTGGGGGGGCTGCAGTCCCTCCAAACAGTGGAGCGCTCTTTCCCAGGGGTGGTGGCGGGGGCAGGGAACCGGCTCCTCTCACCTGCTGTGTGACCTTGGGCAAATCACCAAATCTCCCTGCAGTGGGTTCTTCCTCTGTGAAATGGGAGTAACATGCTGGCCTTGATGAGAAAGAAATGGGGGAAACAGCTCTAAACTCTCTTTGGAAGTTCTAAACACAGGTGCAGGTTTATTTGATTCAGAGACTCTCTGGCTAACTTCTTTGCTATTCTAAGTCAATTCCACCATCTCCTGCTAGACAAGATTAGAAGCTCTTATTCACCTCCACACGAAATTGGCTGGAGTTCCCCAGACTCAGCTGCAGGCTTTTGCAATTATC